CCCCCCCCCCCCCCCTCTTGTGCGCCCGCCGAACCAGGCGAGCGGTGGCCCTGCACGTGGCCGCCCTGGGTGAGGACTTCCTCCCATACTCGTCCGGCGGCAAGCCGGTAAGGTTTGTTTCTGTTGTCAGCAGATGGTATCCATTGTAGTGTTGGTCGTCAGTATGATATGTGCTGTTACGCCACGTGTGGTGTTGGAGAGATGAGCCGGGGGGCTAGCGGGGAGCCAGAGAGCTAAGACTGCTGTGAGAGGGCCGTCGTTGTGAGATTAAATCGGCATGGATGATACGGTCGAATTATTCCACGTTTCGGTTCTGCAGTCTTGCACTCGCCACCTTCCCCTATCCCTCACAATCATGTGCCCGGCGCCCCCTACTAACCCCCCTTTGGGAAGGGGGTGGTTAAGGTGCACCGGATGGTGTCGGCGGCGATCAGCTCGAGAGATAGACGCAACCCGAAGAAGGCGGCACGGGCACAGAGGGTGTACGAGGGATTAATGAATCTGACCCTGTTCGCGTCGCTGTTTCGTCTTCGGATGGGGAAATCTGAAGTGCAGGTGCAAGAAAGAGAAGGGAAGGTATCTAGAAGGTACAGTTGTGTGCCCGTCTTTGTGTTTGCCGGTTTGGTTGCGGAGGCCTGCCTTTCGAAGCCGCGGGGCAGGCACCTGTGTCTGTGCGTACTCGTCTTGATTCTTGCTGTGAGTACGAGGGGTTTCCTTTCGTGGTCTGGCACCAATCCCAACACCTGCAGCTGGTAAGTTTTTTCTCGTTTTTGCCATGGGTTTTCCGTGATTGGTTCTCTGCCATTCTCTCTCGATCTGTGCTTGAAATCAAGGCGTGCCTTGTTGCGGTTCGCGAGTGACCTCGGGAGTCCGTATGCAAGCCATGTCATCTTCCCAATACGGTTTTACGAACGACACTTGGAAGCGGTGCCTTGTTTCTTTCTTTGCTACAGCACACTACGCACGCGCCGCCTCACCCGTACCTGTCGTACTTTGTTGTGGAAATGCCGATGTTCACAGGGCCATGGATTGTTTGCCGCAAGGGCAATCGCGGCCCAGGAGGTCGTCACCGAGTTCAAGGGCGACCTCATCGGCGCCGCTGAGGCACAGCAGCGAGTCGCGCACTACAACGACACGGGACTTTTTGTGAGAGCGTGTTTGTCGGCCGTACTCCGCGTACTTATGGGGTATTGTTTGTGTAGTGTATTAACTTCAGACGGTGAGGCAACGCCCGTACCCAGGGCGCTGTCGTGCTCAGAAAGGAGGAGTGGCAGCAGGGCTGCTGCACACAACAAAAGGGGGCCCCGGTGCATCATCACCGTACCCCTACCTAAAAGGTTCTACACCATCTGCGTCACACTTGTACGTACGGCTAACATATCCAAACCATGTCCGTAGACCCACGAACACCCTCCCTGGTTCTTCACGCAAGTGACTAACCATCAGTGGGGCAAAAACACCACGGATACATCAATAAAATGCCAATACGGTGGTCGAGGGGAAACCCGGCGCCCGGGCAAAACCCCTCGAAAATAAACCCCATCCAACACAAACCATTGCTATCACGGCGGATCACAACGGCCGCACTTATCAGGAAGGCCAAAAGGGCGAAGACAAGAATGCGAGGCAAGCCTCCTACTCTTGCCAATGGGACACAGCCCGCGACAGTAATGCATCTTTCCCCGCATGGTATACATGACCTTCCCCAAGCGCTAAAAAACTCCTACAGAAGCTCCGGCAAATTCGTCGGCTTTTTCCGGTGGTACTGCAGGTTGCTCTTGCTAAGAGCCTTGGTGACCATGTCCGCATGTTGCTCCGACGTCGACACAAACTTGATCGAGATGTCACCCGACCTAAACAATCCACGAATGAAGTGGTACCGCACGTCGATGTGCTTGCTACGCGCTGAGCTAAGGGGGTTCTGCACCAAGGCCATGGCCCCCTGATTGTCCTCAATCAAGCACCTGAATGCTACCGCCACTGGTCTCTGGGGCAATAAACGAGAGCACTGCACGCACAAACAAAGCTTCTTTCACACCCTCTCCGGCAGCAATGTACTCTGCCTCCGAAGACGACAAAGATACGATAGCTTGCGTCTTGCTACCGTGGCTGATGACGGTTCCTCCAACCGTTGTTGCCACCCCTGACACCGAACGTCTATCCTCAGCGTCGGCGTAGCTAGCGTCCACGTACACCGCCAGCCCCAGCCCCGATCCCCGTTTATAGGTGATCCCGAGGTCCCTCGTCTCTTTGAGGTAGGCGAGGATCTTCCGTATCGCCTTCCAGTGCCTCTCGGCACGGGCATGGGCGTGGCGCGCTACCGCACGCACAGCGAACGAGATGTCCGGGCGCGAGAACGTCGACACCCACATCATGCTGCCGATGGCCTCCCTCACCGGCCACTCCCCTCCACTTTCGTCATCTCACTTCGGCCCTATGGGGGATTCTGTACTCAGCTCGGTCGACGCCAGGGCCCTCACGAAGGCGTCTGGAGAGTTGAGCACGAGGTCCTCCGCTCCCAGCAGGAAGTCCTCGGCCTCTAGGCGCGCGATGTTGGCCTCCTCCGCGCGCTCGCACAGCAGCGCTTGCACCGCCCTCGCCTCTAGCCCTTCCACCACGTCGACCACACGCGCGAGCATCCAGTGGGTGTACTCCTCCGTGCTGTTGATGGGCAGGGTGGGCAGCCCGGCCGCCGATGCATGGCGGGCGAGCAGACCTTCGGCACTCGTTGACGACTCGTACCTCGTGTTCCGGCGAGGGTTCTCCCTGAGTCGGCGGCTGGTGAGTTCGGCCGGCTCGCCAAAGCGGGCGAGCCTCCGTTCCTCGGGCCCGCGGAGCGCCGGAATATCCGTGTCGCTGCCGCTGTCGCTGCCGCCACCGCTGCTGCTGCTGCTGCTGCTGCTGCGGCGGTCGTCCTCGCCGCCGCCCACAACGGCCATCCCGGTCGACGTGGTAGATGGGGCGACGCTCGCGCCCTCCCTGCTCGAGGGGGCGCCATCGCCAGCGTCGCCCGCGCCCGACTCCTGGGGCGCGGCCGGCGGCGCCGCCGGCGCATCGCGCGCGGGCGGCTCCGCGGGCCCCGGGTTTGCCGTCGTGTCAAGGTGGAAACCTCCATCCTCAGGTTCTCCCTCCGCCCTCCCTCCACCGTGGCATGACGCACCCCCCCCGCCCTCGTGCTCCCCAGTGGTGAGCTCCTCGTCCTCCTCTGCAATGGGAGGCAGCGGTGCTCGGGTTGACGTCCTGTTGGGGATGGGCTTGGATAGCCCCTTTGCCGTCGAGCATCCCATGCACTCCCGGAGCTGGCCCACCAGCGTCACCCCTTGCTGCTTCGCCGTGTTCTTCAGCAGCACCTCGTGGGAGTGGCCGTGCGCGCAGTGGAAGTCGTTGACGTCAACGGGGGTGCGGTTCGCTTTCGCGTTACCAGGAGCAATTATGGCACAGGCTAGTTCCCTACCTGACTCTATGCGGTGACCAGTCTGAACGAACAGGCCCCCCCATAGAGGGAAGTACACCGACTCCCCCCAACCAACGAACGCCTCCAACTCGTGCTCGTCTGCGGCTAAGCGGCCCTTGGTTTGTTTCAAGAGGGCTGTGAGGGACACGAGGTTGTAGTTGAGCTCCGGCACATGAGCGGCCCGTTTCAATAACAGGTCTGTGGTCCCAACGCGAGAACCGATGGTCACCCTCACGTCGCCATACCCTACGATGGCGAAGGCTTGCTTCCCTGCGGCGACACTCAAACGTCGATCGCACTCATGGTAGTTGTCGAACGCGTTAGCGCTCGGGAACATGTGGTTGGTTGCGCCGGTATCGGCCACAAACCTTTCCTGCCTGGCCTGCTCTACACCCCCTCGATCAACGACTCTGTTCCACTCGCCTGTGAAGTCGCGGACCACTAGCGCCTCCTCTGCCACGTCCAGTGCGGTGGCGTCCAAGACCGGCAGCTCCACCGCGAGCACCGCCTGCTCGGACGAGCACCTGCTCTTGTCGTGTCCGTAGCCCAGGCACTTCTCGCATCGCAGGGGCTCGGGCTTGGTACAGGCGGCCGCCTGGTGACCCTTCTCTCCGCACCGGAAGCAGCGGCCGTGCATGCTACTTGCACCGCCGCCGCCGCCTCCGCCGCTGTTGCCACCACCACCGCCCCCACCGCCCTTGCTGCCACCCCCTTTCCCCTTCTGGCCGCCACCACCGCCGCCGCCACCCTTGTTGCGGCCGCCGCTGCTGCGGCCGGGCGCTCCACCCCTGCTGTTACCGTCGCTCGCGAGGAAAGCATGCTCCGCCTTGTGCTGGCCCTTCGGGGCCTTCCTCCCCTCCGGGAGGCTCGCGTGCACCGTGCTTACGATCCTGACGATCTCGCCCCTGTCCATCTTTGTCGCCGTCTCCAACAGGAACTTCGCTTGTTGGTACTCGGGTGGAAGCGAGTCGACGAAGTGTGCGAGGACAAATGGTGCGTCAGCGTTGAGCCCCTTTTCGCGTAGGCGCATGTATATCTGCTCGAGCTTGCTTAGGTGCTCGATTGGATTGCTGCTGCTGTGTGCCGGGATCGAGAAGCGGAACATCTCTTTCATCAGGGCTTGTTTGGATCCCTGCGACTCGGGGTCGTAAACTTTTTCAAGCTCCGTGAGGACCCCCTTCGCCGTCACACAACTACTGACGACCGCTTCGTCAGTTTCTTTCACCACGGCGGTAGTGATGAAGTGGAACGCGGCGAGCCCACGTGCGACCTCGCTCCTAGTGTAGCGCAAGTCGTTGTAAAGTGTGGAGGTGGGCATGTTTGGGTCGCCCACGGGGGCATGTCTTTCAGTACTCCCGATGAATTGACCGTCTAGTTCCACGGTCTTAGCGGCCTGGATGAAAGCTTTTCGCCACGTGCTAAATCCGCTGCTGCGGCCCCCCTCAAGGCGAGGGGCCACCACGTTCACTTTCTTCGAGTGATTGAAGCTATCGATGTAATCACCGGTAACACGAGTTGCGGGTATCTCACCTGGGGGGTTTAACCCCCTCGCTTCCCCGCGGTCAGCTCCTACGCCAGGCCCCACTCTCGCTGGAACCCCAGGACTCGCTCCCGGTATGTTGTCCCAGCGGCTTTCCCGCGGGTGATTTGGCCCATCACGGGCTGCTTCCCGGGAAAATGCCCCGCCGCCCTTTGACGGCAAGGACTCTCTCTGGCTTGGGACGGCAGCACCGCCGCCCCTACTGGCATCGCCCGCCACGGCGTCGCCAGGCTCCTTCCTCTTAAGCTCCATTATTATGCTCATCAGCTGCGATAACTGGCCCTCCAGTCTCGCAATCGCCGGGTCCTCGGCGTGTTGCTGTTGCATGGCTGAGGTCTCTTCCCCCAGCCCTTCGACCGAACCGCTGTCCGACACAGCCATCTCCCTGCTCTTTAGACAAAATAGAAGTTCATTTAGTTGTATCTCTTAGGCGCATGAGTTGTGCATACAAAAGCGCAAGAGACGGAAATGAAACAACGTGTTTTGCTGACGCGCCGGCGCTTCGCTTGAGAGTTTCGTGACGACACCTGTAGTCTCTATCTTGTAGATACTTCTGACGCCCAACACTTTCGCTCCCATGTTGTACTTTTTCTAACACTGGTGCGTGCTACACGCACACCTCAGCTGACGCCTCGAAAGCAAACCTCGTCCGTGCTTTGACGGCATGTGTGTAGGAAGCAGAGGAACGTGACACCCCCCGTTTTCATACAATTTCAAGTCTAAGCCGGGTTGAAGTAGAGAGTTTCTTGCCCGTGCTTTATTTTGCTGTCGAAAACATGCTACGTTGGCAACAGCAGCAACCACACCCAGCGAAAACCTGGACACAGCGTGGGTGGATGGTATGGTAGTATCGTGCCAAATCAGTTCGTTTGGGGTACGCCAATTGGTCAGTCAGCCCGCCACCCTTTCTCTCCGCTCCTGCCAACACCACCATTTCTTTCCCTTTCCTGGACTCCCCCGATCTCATCGCTGCCACAGGGATGCATAGTACAGGTCGGAAACGGCCCCCTGTACCTGGACGCCCTGCTGCAGGGGTACCCCACCAGGTTTCTGAACCACTCCTGCGACCCGAACGCTTACCTTTATACGGTGAGCAGCGTACAATGTTTCCAACTGTAGACTCCACCACTCACTATATTTCAGTCAATTAGATGGGATGGATGGTACATTGCTGAAAGAACATTATGTGAACTTGTATCAAATCTGCTATCTGTTTAGGAAGGTGCTAAACACGCCCAGAAAGATTGGGTGATTAATTTTCTTTTGCGAATCGAGGGAAAAAGGCAAATTGGGGAGGGGACTCCTTCATGGCCCGTCCAGAGGACCCATTTTCACGGCGGTGGTGTCCTCGGTTCAACTATGTTTTCGGAGTGAAACCGTTGGTCGGGTTTTCTGTCGTGTGCCCGAGAGTGTTACTGTATATCGCCCCAACTTCGCCCCGTGCATAGCCATGTTTGACATAGGCTTCTCTTCTTCTCTATCCACTTGTATACATACATAGTCTTCACCGTGCTTCCACACAATGCACACCGTTGATGCCATCCACCAAGAAGGTTATTCACACAGCACCGTTCCGGGGGAGGGTGACATTTAGCTTTTTTCCTGGAGCAACTGACTGTTTCCCGGTTGGGGCGGAGGATGCAAGAAACGAAGGCTATCGCTCGAACCCCGTTCTTATAAACAAGGCGCGACCTGTGCAGATGCCCCTCTCGCACCCCCCCTCCTCCTTATTGTTGTACCCTATATGTCTGAACGCTTTCTGTCGCACGTTTTGGTTCACACAGGTGATCGCAGGCAAGGGGGCCGCGCAATCGAAGCGCGTATATGTATTTACGATGAAAGAAATCGCAGCTGGCGAAGAGCTGTGCATCACGTACCCCAGGCTGTTCACCATCAGCCCCGAAGTGGCAGACACGAAGTGCACTTGCGGCGCGCCGGGGTGTCGCCAGAAGATATTCCGGCGCTAGGACGTTTTAGGGGGGGGAGAGGGGGGGGGGAAGGGCCTCTAGTGTGATGTGCATGTATGTTTGCATGCACATGTATGTTTTTGTTGCGCGGATTGTGTGGATGTACTACCGCAGAAGAACCTGTTGTGGAAACTCCAATATCATTTTGTACCTGTTGCAGAGTCTACGCGCCACCGCCGCCGTGGCCATGGCGTGGAAAAAACAATAAACATGCGATGACGTGTTTTGTTTTAGGATATGTGCTGTATGTACAGATACTTTGATGTACGTGCGAACGCCGTTGGGCGCAAGAGGTTAGTCAGTGCTGAGCCAATGTCAGTTACAGGTTGGGAGTGGTTGCGTTGATTGATTGTTGTGCGGATCGACCTTCGCAATATAACAAATATCTCGACATTGCCGTTGAAAGGAAAACCGTATGTGCGGGAGAACGAGGGAATTCTGTTGCGTCAGAAGCAATTTAGCACACTGTTTTTTTGGGAATTTATCATGAACTGGTTGAGGACGTCCACGTGCAGCACATGTTCTCGATTCCCGTACGTATCGTGGTTATAAAACGTGGCGAGAGTAGCTAAAAAATACCAGCAACTGTAGACTACAGTTTCATGTTTTTTTCTCGCCACCGGTAGGTTCTGCGAAGGTGTACCGATTCTGGTAAAAGTCAATCGACGGATACCCTGCGAATCGGGTCCTCCTTAACACTCTCCACCCACAGAATTTACCCTCAACTGGGAACCTCTTGTGGCCAGGACGGGTAATTCGATGGAAGTGTCACAAGGTTCTTTATAGGATCGATTCCAAGAGGTGTTCTCAGGACTGACACACATTGTGTCCATGGGAAAATGTCCAAGTCAGGAGAAAAAACGTGCACCCAGGGAGATTCGAACCAGTATCCGGCTGACGCCATATTTAAAGGAGGGGAAGCCGTGGGTGGTAGCTTGCTCCTAGAGATAGATGAAGGTAGGTTCTGTCGTTGACACGCTTGTCCACGATCACGTAGAGATGAGAAAGTTGCTTGTTATTGCTGAGAGACGATCAGCAAGGGTCTGAGGTGAAGTGGGGATCCAACTTCACCTCAGGGGGGTACGCAGACTAGACAAAATCCTAAGAGGGTAGGTGTCTGAAGGGTATACCTCCTGAGACCGACCCACATCCTATCAACAATAAGATGTACCCTATTTAAGCTAGCAGCCACACTCCTTAACACTAGCCCACCCTGAATATCATATATGCAGATTCTATACTCAAATCAATGCTCAACTCCTAAAAGCTACAACGAAGATTTTAGCTGACGATTGATGCTCATGAATCGAAGATATGACTCTTCACAAAACATCCAAAAAGGAGGGTGAGTTGTAGAAACATCCCGAATCAACCCCCACACCATCATTGAGACGAAAGATGGATGCGAACGGCCACGAGACAACACATCGACATCTCAATGACAACGCTCCTATCAATGAAGGGATAAGGCCAAGAAAAATATGTAGTGCTGCACAGCACGCTATCCGCAACAGACGACGGCAAGAGAAATAAAGTCAAAACCTAAACGCCACACACCACTCTTTTACGCGCACCCGCGCGTATAACAATGGGAGGAATGAGGGCGACTACCCGAGAGAGCCCCAAAATACTGCAACAAAACTCAAAACCCAAGCAAATTTCCGAACGAATACGGCCTTTGATACTGGACGCGACGTAAAGGGGAAGATATCAACGCAACCAATCTAGGAAAGCGTCAAAGAAGGGCAGGAGAAATGAATGACAGGCGAACACACTGACAACAATTTCCAGCGTGTCAGAGAACTCAAACCGTATAGAGAGGCGGCCACGGCAAGACCTAATGAAAACCAAGAATGTAAAGCATGAATGATCAACGTCTGAGAAGCGATCTGACGAACTTGCCCTGGCTCGCTGGCAAAGCACAACACAGGAAGGCTCAAATAACACAGAAAAATCGCAGAGATACACACAACAACACAACGACTCAAGGGCTCGACGATGATGAAGGCGTCGCCGGCAGGTAGCGATGACGGAGACGAAGTGGAACGAAGTGTGGATGACGACGAATGTCCACGGGAGAAGACGACGCCACGGGATGGAAGCCCGAAGTAACAAGCCTAGATGACACTTCGGCGACACGGTGGAGCTAAAAAAAAAAAAAAATGAGTTGGCGAAAGGCGAACCAAGGGAAACACGAGAAACTCGGTGTTTGCCTGGTCAGAGGCGAACATACCGACGAAACTTGGGGAACTCGTTGTTGAAGTGTTCAGAGGCAAACAACACCGACGAAACTTGGGGAACTCTTTTTCCAAGTATTCAGAGGCAAAGAACACCGACGAAACTTGGGGAACTCATTTTCCAAGTGTTCAGAGGCAAACCACACGGAGAAAACAAGAAGGAAAAGCTAGGAAGAGATATTGGGAACAGCCGACGGTAAGGAGTCAGTAATGGGAGGAGTGCGATCCCGGGCGTCGCCCAAAGGGCGCGAGCGATGTTTTTCTAAACACCACGATCCACAGACGGCGTCCAAGGCGGTGGAGTAGAGGTGCGCAGGCAGAGGGAGAACGCTGGGGCCCGGGTCATCCAGAAATCGAACGATGTACGAGCCGTCCTGATGAGCACCAATACGTCCGGTCCACCATAATCCGTCGCGGGCCTTGTACCACAGCCGCGCTCCTACTGGAAGGGGCGAAATGCTGAAGCGACGGAGCCAAGTCACGTGAAGCACAAGGTCAGCCCCAGGAGGCAAATAGCGTTCGCCACGATTCCGGGCGAGCTCCCGTTGTGCCGCGCGTGTCCGAGCCACTCGATACGTGCGGTTACCCTGCTTGCTTTGGCAGACCTCTCGAGACCAGTACAAGAGGATGTGTCGACGGAATTGATCGAGGTCGGACTCCCGTTCCCAAGAAGGAGTAGTCAGGCCTAGCCAATGCGTCTGGTACAGGACAGCGAGAACGCCGCTACGGCCCCGCACCAATTGGTGTCCCGAAATGTAGTCGACCTCGAGGCGCCCGACAGGCACCGACACATCATCTGCGGTGACGTGAAACGGTGGACATTTATCGCCGAAAGAGTGCAGGACATAACGCGAAAGCTCAGCGGGTAGAGATTGAGGCAGGTCGTCCGTCTCGTATGGATTGCGACAGGGCTTGCAACGAAGGACAGATACGCGACATCGAGCAGCTGGGCCGGAAAGATCCGAAGGCAGGTCCAGGTAGAGGAGTTTACGCGCCAACGGGCTTCCATCTGGGGTGGCGTTGGCCGAAGCGGGACCCACCGCAAGAACTTTGTAAGGCCCCGTCCAGGAAAGCGCGAATTTGGCCTTGAGCACCTGTTGATCCGTGTCCTTCCGCACACCCTGTCGAATTGTAGCAGCCGTGTTGTAGACCCAAGCCCACCCCGCCAACAGTAAATTGCGGGAGCTTGTGGATGGCGTCCCAGCAGGGATGAATTACGGCGTTCGACTCGCGAGATCTTCAGGGCGTTGTACTCACGGACCAGGTCGTAGGCCCGGCGCTGACGATCGACAGCCAAGTTGCAGTACTCGAGTTGGTCACGGGCTAAGCTTTGATGACCACCTACCGTTGGATGATCGAAGACCGAAAGCGGAAGCCGCGGAATGCGTCCGATATGGATCTCGTTCGGCGCCAATCCAGTCGACTGGTTCACGGAATTGTTGTAGGCAAATTCGACGTGCGGGAGATGTACGTCCCAATCGTTTTGCTGTTCGTTGACGACTACCGCAAGCATCTGAGCCATCGTGTGATTGACGCGTTCCGTGCCGCCGTTGGTTTGCGGGTGGTAGGAGCTGGTGGTGACTTTCTTGATTTTCATCACCTCGTAGATCGCCATGGAGAGCTTCGAGCAGAAATGCAGTCCGTTGTCCGACAATAACGTAGTCGGACATCCCCACTTGGTCATGTACTGGTTGACGAAGATGTGAGCCGTCCCTTTCGCCGTAAATTCCGCCGCTGTAACCGCGAACATGTCGGCTCTCCGGCTGAAACGGTCTGTGAACAACAAAATGTAGGAGTTGCCCTTGGCAGTCACGGGCAGGGGTCCGAAGAAGTCGACGTCGACGACCGTACCAGGCCCCTGTGGCAATGGCATAGCGATGACGGGCCACCGAGCGGTTTGACGCGAAGTCTTGCGAGCTTGACACACCAAACACGCTCGAAGCCACCAACGCACGGAACGATCCAGACCAATCCACCAGTAAAAACGCTCAAGCAGACGTTGTGTACGATGAACACCGAGATGGAAGGACGCGGCGGTATGGCAGGCATGAAGGACCCACGGACGCATCAGCATGGGCACGTAGACACGGGGCACACCAGTATCCGGTAGACGAGTGGTCCTGCCGCCAGAGCGCCCGATCGGCGATGGCGCCGGTTTATGTACGAGGAGGGTGACGTTCTCATCGGTCGTGTGCAGCCTGGTTTTCGCCGCCAACGCAAGGACATCGTCCAACCGAGGGGAGCGGAGCGGGGCACTAAGGGTGAACAAGTCAGAAGGGGGGGGGGAGGGAGAGCCACGAGACAGAAAGCGCATAGCCACCACGCATTCGCTCTCCCGCTGTTGTTCCCTAGCCCAGTCCACAGTGCCGAAGCTCTGAACGCAAGCTCGCAAATGTGAGGGGTCCAAGTCAGTCGGCTCCAACCCAGAGACAAGCGATCCCACGGAAGAGGCTGGAGAACGAGGGGCCTCAACGAGTGGTGAAGTTGCAGACCGCGGTGTCACCTCAGGAGGAGGCATTGGGCGGGGCGAAGTCCCAGGCGAAACCTGGATAGAGGGCAAAACCGAGGATGCAGCGCGCGCCGATGCCGGCGAAGGCACCTGTGGCGCAGAGGCAGTCGACGAAAACGCCGACGTTGGCGTCGCAGATGACGGCAGGGGACGCGTGCCGGTCCGGATGGTCTTGTTTGTCGAGCGGGACCTGCTAGGACGACGGGCAGTGGACGATGCCCGAGGGACGATGGTAGCCCGCGGCTGGCGTCCGA